CGCCACCAGCTACCACATCTAGATTCATCCTTATCAAATATAACGAGATAATCATCAACAAGTCTTTGTAACGCTCACATACGTTAAAGAGAGAGACTCCCCCTCATCTTGCGAAAATTTATTGATCTCTCTTCTCACTTGGGTTGTCTTACTCAGAAAAAAAGTATTGTGCAAGGAAACCAACCTTAAGTTATTCCCATGTAGTTACGGAATTTGAGGGTAGATATTGAAGCCAAGCTCTGGCTCGATCTTTTAGTGAGAAGGGGAATAATCTGAGGCAAATGGTGTTTTGATCAACTTCATTGGCCTTTAAAGTGCCACAATTGTCAACAAAATTAGACAGGTAACATTGTGAATTGGTCTTGCTGAACGATACCTATCAATGAAGGCTTAAGTTTAAAATTATTGGCCGATATGGGCGGATGCACAATGCTATTTTGCATTTCCTCATAAGTGGGAACCACATAGTCTTTTAGTGGTTTGGTGTCTACCACAGGATCGACCATTTACTGCAAAGCTAAGAGTCAACATCTCTCGTGCAAGAAACGTTCAATCTCGTCTACCCGTTCAACCAAGTTTTCGGTCGAACATATTCTTCACATACAAACTAGAAATAGAAAAATTAAAAGTGCTTTAGTATATATTGTGTCAGAATAAAAATTCAATATCAAATTTATCTCCCTGGAAATAAAGCGAAAAACTTGATGCAATGCTGCAAGTGCACGACAATGCAAAGTAATATTAATATGAGGTCGAACCAATGGAGATGAGTATGAGTACTAAATTTTATTCTAAGGTTGTTTAACTAAAGCGATCATAATTTTTGGTGATTTAACGCAAATTGAAATAAGATTAATAGATAATAAAAGCAGGACACGTAGTAGTGGTCATCTATCTTGACTCACCCTATTAATCATCTAAAATTGTACATGAGTAATATAAGAGAATATTATAGAAAAGCAAATAGAATTGTACTACACATACTTTTATGGTGTATGTATCTAGACGTGTTTCTGGAATAACTAATTAGATTTCTCAATCGAGAATAAGACATCTCGTCAATTGCATCTCGTTATAGATTGTTTAGCAATTCTGAAGTCAAATGCCAAATCGCTACCTTTAGATACATGATTGGCATCTAGGTTTCCTCTACTTTTGCTAGCTGACACAAATATATTTAAGTTTTCGGATCCTAAAATAATAATGCTCATAAGTCTCATTTTTCCTATTCAGATAGATAAATCAGAGTTTGTCATGAGATAGTTCTCACAACCCATTGTCCTTAAAAGATTACTCACTCATGGTGAGGTTGATTGAAAATAAACAAAAACTAAGCATAACATGCATACAATAAAGGCAATTGCAATATAACATAAACTTAAAGAAAACAATATTTGAATGAAAGAAGTCTGTAACTTACAGCAGAGAATACCAAGAACCAAAAGCTAAAAGTGACTAAGTAATAATTGGAAGAGACAAGTTCCCCGTTTTTCTTAAGAAAAAGTTCCTTATTTATATGAAAATCAATAATTAATCACTCATAATTCGTGCACTACCATTAAGCATTAAGTCTTGATCAGTTTCAGACTTCTTGATCGCGACTTTAAGAGTCTATCGAGTGTAGTGACTGCAAGTGTACAGTCTAATCGTGTAGCTTTAAAAGATATCAAACCCACAAGGATTGATAATCAAATTACTTCTATCTAAAGCTACCGTGTAAAGCTAAGGCTAATAATTAATCTTGGATTTTTTTTTTTGGGTGAGACGAAAATAAACTTAGGCTTAAATGAAATATTTGATAACAGGACACCAGTATGTAATACGTCTGACTTCGGGGATTCAATAAGTCATTAGCATAACTTTGAGTATTTAAAATATTGTTTCAGTAGAAACTATCAGTTTAAAAACCTTTATCTCACACTCTCGTGATTATTGATTCAGACTATATTATTAAACTTAAATGCTTGCTCTCGCTATCTCATTTAAAATTTAAAAATACTTTTTGAAAACAAATAGAATCTAATCAATCCTAAACCGCTCTCACTGTATTTAAAACTAATGTTTGATTACCATTATCCGGTTAAAATTTCAAACTCTCGTTATATCGATTTTAGCATTCGTTTGTCTTTTACTCTCGTAAAAAACAATTTTTAATATTAAATGTTAGAAACCAAACCATAAAAGCATTTTATAAATGTTCATGCCAATTTATTACCGAACCCCTTCGAAATTCTGACCTTACATACTGGTACCTGGGAAATTAGCCAGACATGCTATTGAGAATCATTACAAAATTGCAGTAAACTAACAATAACATGATAATGATAATTAAATAAAGATACTACATATAAATGAAATAGGAACCTAGAATGGATAAAAGAAAACTGAAATTAATGATATACTTCTAGTACCAAGTGCAATCATCCACAATATGCCGATAGGATTTGCTTGCGGAAAAATAACTTGAATGCAGAAAGAAAGTATAAAACTAAAACAAAGTCTGAAAGCTGTGAATAAAATCTACTCGTGCAATAGTTCCCCAATTTGGAAAACTGTTGCTAATTCAGGTGAGAAAGTATCTACTTAGAATTTCTAAAAACAATGGTTCTGTATGAGAAAATTGAACAAAAGCGTCAGAGCCCTTTTGCTGCTTGGTTGCTCCCTTTTTATAGCCTTTGGTGTAACTTCTGTTGGAGAAAATTTAGGAGTTGTATGTGTCAATCAGAAGACTCGACTTCTCCAAATAATTCGGGACATGGTCATCTTGGAGTGGAACATAATACATGCTGGTTGAGAGAATACATGAGTTTTGTTGCAGGCGTGGAGAGAACATGTAATAAACAGACTATGGCAAGGGGCGTGACTTGTATGCCGTGGGGCACACAAGTAAAAGTTGTGGCGGCCGAAACACACGTGTATCGAGGGGTACACATACACACATACTGTGGCGACCAGCAGAAGGATGTAACAACCGTCACAGTCCTCTGATGCAGTTTCTTCTATTTTCTACTACAGAGTCAGACATTTCTGTCATTTCTTCCTCTTTTCTTATGCGAGTCTTGTGAAATGTAAATACTTGAAAAATACTTAAAATACCAACATAATGCAACATAACTAACAGAAAAAGGAAACATAATTTATGCTAATCGAGCCGAATATGTGGTGCATTTTCGCGTTATCACTTCTAAAAGTCACAAAACCGCCCCAAAAACTCTTGATTTCATAATTGTCTCTAGGTGCAACATGAGCGTGTCACATGACACCGGGGGGAGGGGGGGGCGTGTTGAGGAACACAATCAGTACGTGTTCTTCTCAGGTTTTTATTACAGGGGGCATCAAGGGCTGACACGAACACGACCCTGACACGAACACGACCAGGTTATATTAGCCACAAGTCTTTTGTATTGAGAGTTTACTCGAATGCACAATTTTCTGTCTTTTTCACCTCAATCTTGCTTAATACTTCCTTATTAACTTAAATCAACAAAAACACATGAAAACACATAAAAACAAAACAAAACGATAAAAACACACAATAAAACAAAAATAAAATAAGCTAAAAATATATAGCAATAATCACTTATCATATATCCTGAAACTATGTCTCATCAGATTGCACTAGTGCAAATATATTCTAGCCATGTCTCACACACTTCAATGTGTCACGAAATTAAAAAAAAGTTATGTATGTAATAAATACACATGATATATTTAATTATATTTGATACATCCAAATTTAATTAAATATTTATCTCTTTGTTCCATACACGAAGAGCAACATGGTCTTCATATAGACGCGACGCTTATATGTCTGATGGCCCTCCGGAAAAAAAACTATCCGTATGGGAGTCTGAGCTTGAGCATGAGCTAATATATGTACTTGATACTGAATCTAAGGCTCAGGTTGAGCACGAGAAGATCTGGCTTGAGACCGAAAATGAGATCATGCATTAAACCTAGACTAATATCCCGTTTGAGTTAGTAGTGGAAGGAAGGGGCAACAAATGAACATGTGCTTGACACAAATTTCTTGGATCATATTAGGACACATGAGCCTGAGATGAGTAGTCTGGTTCAACCTGAGACAAAAGAGACTTCTCTATGCGGATATTGGCATGTTGAGCAATCCTACTACGTCGTAGTCGTTCCTATTCATCCCTAATTTTAGTGTAATTTTAATGAAATATTAGAAATTATAAGCAAATTCCAAACATGAAAAAATGTATAAGTTGTTTACTGTCGTTCTGAAAGCCACTGATCCATGGCTCTAAACGCATCCTCCCAGTTGTAATGGAAATAGAGTCTGGTGATAAAAATAGATTATAAAAGTGATCAAATCGATAATATAAATTGAATTTATAATCTTTCGGACGAGTCAACTCTTTATCAACTAATATAAGTTATAATGACGTATTATAAAATCTTCCATTTGGACTAATGAATTAAAATTTCAAAGATACATTTGTCAATTTACAAAATTTATTGTCATTTTCACTCATACTCATAGTTTAGAGGAATAATTAGTATCTTCACTCAATAAATAAATATGAATCATGACTTGTTGATATGATCAAAATGATTATGATGGTGATGACTATGATCAATACTTGAGCCGTAAAAAGATAGGCATGAAATATAAAATTGCTTGGGTTGAATATTTCAAGCATTCCAAATTTGCAACCTTGGACGCAGCTTTGTTAACAAATTAAGATAACAAAAAAATACTTCATATAAGCTTCAAACCTTATCCAATTCCATATCAATATTTAAACCAAACCTAATGCCTCCATTCACATCATAAACTAGTCACATTTCATATTTTGTTAAGAAATCCAAATAATAAGACAAGCATATATCATAAGCAGAAAAACAGTGACATCTCTTTATTCAAACTTTAGGCAAAGAGATCAAGACAAATTCTTATCTTAAGCCTATTAATTAATGCTTAAACACAATTGTTCAAAACACAAAAAAAAAAAAAAATTCTAACACTCTTTCACTCACATATCACAAACATAATCAAAATCATCACTCGTTTCTATATCATTATCAAAATCATCATCTTCATCCATTTCATCAAATTCCATTTCTCCTCCAACAAATTGTCCATCAAGTTTTGGTCCTTCACCTGGCTTTCTTGCCTCTTGAATTACCAACAATATTTCCTCAATACTCTGAGATGAATCATCCACACAATTCCCATCATTTTCTAACTTATGTTTTTCATCCTCCACAAATTCCGTTGGCAATTTTTTAAGAAACCAAGGATGCATTTTGATTTCGGGTATAGTAATTCTCTGCATCAATGACATAGAAATTGATTGATTTAAAACTCCATACATATATTTCATTCAACAAAAATATTTATTTAGAAATGAACTTAAGTACTTCTGTACCTTCTCAGGATTCGCTACAAATATTTGAGATAGAAGATTTCTACAATCTTTTGAGACGCGAACATAGTCAGGAATAGAATAATGAACCCTTAGAATTCGCTGTATAACATTCAAAAAAACAAAATTTAGAATATTAGTCGGATCATCTAATTTGTTGATGTCATAAATTTTTTTTTATAATTACCGCGAGTGGAATACAATTATTTTGCTTAGTCAACTAACCTCAATTGTTTTTCTGAAATTTCTTGGATCATCTGGATCTTCAAAAGGATAACCACCAACTAGCATCACATACAATGTAACCCCACAAGACCAAACATCAGCAACCTATGCATTCTCCAACACAAGAATATTTGTGTGGCCAATGTCAGCTTCAATATTTATTTATAAAAAAAAACTAAGAAACTCATGTAACTAGAAAATAAAATTAGTAGCAAAATCACCTTTCCATCATATTCTCTTCTTGACAAAACCTCAGGTGCAATATATGCCGGAGTTCCCACGGTTGATTTAGGCTGAGAATGTAGAACAGAAGACTGAAGAAAAAAAACAAGCAATTATCACTGATATACCGTCGTTAAATAACATATCTAATTGTTTTGTCACGTTAAACTGTGATTAAGTCATATACTATATTATATACGATATAATTCTTTTATACCAACATTGTATTAAAATTAAAATCATTTGATAATTGAGAAGCTCTTGCCTTGGAGTAACCAAAGTCACATATTTTGAGTTGAGGTGAAGAGCTTCCATCTAAAAGTGTATTTTCCAGCTTAAGATCTCTATGGCAAATTTCCTGCATAATCAATATTATAATTTTCAAACCATGTAAAATAATATGATTCGTAAGACAAATATTTAATTAAAGAAAAATTAATTTGGTTCATATGTGACAAGAATAGTAGTACCATTGAATGACAGTAGCTGACTCCAGAAATCAACTGTTGAAAGAAATATCTTGCCTATGGACAATACAGAAGAATAATTATTTTTTTTAAGAAAATAAAAGTAGAAACATTGTTGCAAAAATGAACATTTATTATTAGAATATGATAGTTGTATAAGTTAACATCTAATGAACAGTTTAAGAACAAAATAGCTATAACAACTTGCAATTGAAAAATTCAACACTGATAATAATATTACATAAAGTTGGAAAATGAAGTGACACTCTAACTTTGTTTAATACAAATTGTAACGTGGATGCAATCTTTAATACCATTGTTTTTGTTGAATTACTGCTTAGAAAATTACATAACTAATATAATGGCTTCATGGACAAAAAGCACTATAATATAGTCAACTAATCTATCAATTATCAATAATTTAAAATAAGAAATTTAGAAACAATCTTATCTACCTCGTCTTCGTCGAATCTACCCGCACTGCATATTTTTTCAAATAATTCTCCTCCCGCAGCATACTCCATTACTATAACTAAATGAAGCGGAGTACACAAAACCTGCCATGAATAACAATTTCATAAGTTATATATAAGACGTTTTTATAAAGAAAATAAACTGAAACAAGTTATGAACGTGTCAAAAGTTGTTTTCATAAGTTCTGTTAAACAGAAAACACAAAAAGTTCTTACCTCTTTAAACCTAACGATATTGGGATGCTTCAAGGATCTATGATTTATGATCTCTCTTTGCACATGTTCATCAATCTGCAACAACCAACAAGTTAGTAACCAAACTATTAACCTAGGACAATCCAAAGTACGAGGTAATAACATACATGGATATACTTAGTCCCAAGACAACCTAAGACAAAGACAAGATGCATAGGTTGAGAAAAGTAAGTGAAAAACAAAAACAAAACAACAAACCTTAAGGCCTCTCTCAATGATTTTGATAGCATATAGTTTACCACTTTGTCTCTCCCTCACAAGTTTCGCTACTCCAAAATTTCCTGACCCAATATCTTTAATAGTTTCATACCTTTCTTCCATTCTTATGACGTATACACAATTAATATTACAAGAACCAAGTGTTATATTTTGAAGAATATATGAACTTGCAACTAGCCAATTGAAAATTATTCTCTTCTTCTTTATGACCTCAAATTTTCAATTGGGAAATAAATTAAAGATGTTTGGTTTTGCTGCGGTTTATATCAATGTTGTTGTCAACAACTTGTCACAAGTGGAATTTAAGTATGCCTTCAAAAAGAGGGTTCAAGCAGAAATGGTATAAATGACACGTGGCCACAATGTAGTGGTTGAAATTCTTGCGAACTAAAAACAAGTTGGTCCTACGTGGCAATTGATTGCTTTTATTGGAGGAACTATAATTTTATATGACCGTCCCTAACAACGTCTAAAATTATTAATTTGTCTCATACATCAATATTTGATGGAGATGTAACCTATCATCTTCATAGATAATTGACAAACGTGTCCTAATTCAGAATCTAAGTTCAAGGCGATGAAATTTGTGTTTTCGTTTTTTTACTATTACTTTTACTTTTATTCCGTATGATGCATGAGATAAATTATAGATAAATATTGTATGTGAGAATTTTTTTTAAGATTTTTGTTAATTGAATAGTAGAAGTACATAGATATTAGTGGTGGAGTAATGAACTAGAGTAATTAATATTAAATATCAACTAATATATTAAATAATATTTGTTAGAAAGAGAAAAGAAAATAATGTGATTAAAAATTATTTACGCGAGATTTTATTCAAAATTTGGTGCCTATGTGTGTATTCTGTTTTAATATATTAAGGATATGTGAAAATTATTCTTGTGGAGTGTAAGATTATATTTATTGTACGATTTTCACCATGTATTTATGAATTTTAGGTGAACAGAATCCTCCTCCACCTTGTGATTGAGATGTTTAGGGAGATGTATTGGACCTAAATTTTTTGACCTAGAGAATGGTTATTTTGCTCCTCCTTCAAGAGTGTGAGACGTGGAAAACTGTTATTCTCTATTATTTTGAAGAACATGGTTTTTCACCTTTAACTAACGATATATGAAGCCTAGTCATATGGTTCCCCATGTTTTATAAGTGGGCGAGGAACGTTCTAATCCAAGTTCAATAGGGGTGAGTGTTGCGATCAATGGGCGGCTAAAAATCCAACTTTAGACGACATGTGGTATTTGCCCATCCTTAGCAAGCTTTGTATTGCTTCTTCTGGGCCCTTTTCTTCCATGCTTGGTAAACTTATCTCTATATAGGTTCCATTACAATTATATTGGTACATAGTCCCTCAAGCACAAGGGCTTGTAAAGGACGAAGTGATTTAGTTCAATCACCTCCAATCTTAACGTTGAGGTGAGTCCCTCACGCGTCGCAAGGCAAAAAGAGATATGTCTTGAGTGTGGGTAGATCTGGAGACGTTGAACACAACTACTACTTTCGCCTATGAGGATGGTTTTGATCCAGCCTTTACTGAGGTGGGGCCCCAGTGTGACTAGGGAGTGCTTATAACTGATGAAGATAAAAGGGTGTGTAACAAGTGTGATAGGTGTGTCATCCCTGTTCATGAGTGTTTGTTCTCTTTGATTGGTCTTCGTCTCCCCTTCAACACATTCGATGTTAACATTTTCAATCACTTGTTGATCTCCCCTTCGCAACTGCACCCAGTCAGCTAGGCTTGCATTAAAGTATCCTAATATTGGTGCGAATACAAGGGGAGTGTGTCGACCTTGACCCTTTTTTCCATCTCTTCAAGGTTCACCGCGACAAGGATGCTTCAGCAAGAGGTCAATGCTTAATATCTCTTCCAATGTGTCAGGACGTTTGACGTCTATTGGGACAACATGAAACACTTTAAGGACTAATTCTTCCTAGTCACCCCTCTCAACAAAGAGGCCCTTGCTAAAAATTTCTTCATATATCCCAGACTGCTCAATCAATGCGGGATAAATTTGCTAAGTTCTAGTGCTAGAGCCATTTCTCAGTAGAGTCTAGGTCCTACATTTACAAGATGGACAATTTAACTCAAGATGACGCCTTCCTAAAGAATCAATTGGTGTATTTTCGTGAGGCTCTAGGTTATGTTAGGGGTGTCACCCTTCCTGATACATTGTTGAAGAAGAAATTAAAGGGGCTCGTAGAGATACACATGCTTTAGGAAGCTAATTTAAAGGAGGCTAGGAAGGATGTCTTTGGCAAGTGATATGAGAATGCCTTCTCCTTTGAATATTTCTATGTGATCCCTCTTATAACTCGTTTATCCTTTTCCTGCATATAAGATGAAATGTGAGAAAAAATGCAAAAAATTAATAGGGTCACCCAAGAGATCCTCTCTCCAACCCTTGTTACCAATATGGTGGCCCGAAGTGTTCCTACTTCGGTGTAGCTGGAAGTTCAGGATTCATCTGGGTCATGGTGGAAGATTCCTTAAGCTCCTCACGCCCCAACAATGGAGGAGACTTGAGGCTTAGTCTTGATCTGGAAGAACTTCGAGTGGATTCGTTAAGGAACATGTGTCGACTCAAATTAGGTTTTCTTATGTACAACTAGCTCGCCTTGGTCCAAGAACGCATATGGAGTTATGGTCTTCCATCTTCAACAGAGATTATTATTATTTTTCAAAGAAGTCTGATGAAGCTCACTAGGAGAAGCTATTGGATTTGACATATCACACTTGTCGGGCATCAACCTTCTTATCCTTTAGAGCTATCATGCAAGAAAATATCTTGTGAAGGAGAAAAGGTGCTCAAAGTGAATGTTTACACCCTTACCATTGAGTGAAGTTGGTGTTTAGATGGGATTTGGGAAGCGTTTGTCTCATTTTTTTACTCCTTTATCATTGTCGTGGAGCCTTTCTGGTATTCTGAAACTCTGGTTGAAACGGTGAAGCTACTTGCTCAGGAAGTGATAGAGAATAATGAGGCCTTAGTTTATGCTGAGGCTTCATTATATATGGTGAAAGTCGCTCTTCATAAAGAAAACGGGTCCTTGGATCCTGCTTAAAAAAGGATACAAGAGCTTGATATGTCTTTAAAGGAGTCTCAAGAAGGCCAGAAAAAGGTTGAAGGCGGTCTTCATGAGACGCGTCTTGAAAGTCGTGTCTTGTCTAAGGAGTATATGAAACAATTATAAAAGAATTACTCTATCGATCATGACTTTTTTTAGAGTGATTTACAGTGGATGAAGTATTTTTATCCCATCGGGCCTATCTCTCGAAACCAAGTCCGTCTTGATCAAGCGATGGAAGATGAGAAACCAATTGCCTTGGTGGATTAGTCAGATACATGTTTATTAATTTTTATTTTATTTTTTATTTTTTTGTTACTGTATGTTTGTACCTGACACATATGTATCCAATGAATAACTAAACTTTATAGTTTATGTCCTACAATGTGTATTTTAGTTTTTTCTACTTATCAGTGTTTTTACCTATTTACGTGATATTACTTTTAGTCCCAAGTTTGTTTCTTTCTAGGACATAGCTTGTCTTCTGAGGTCATGCTTGAAGTTTTATTGGATGTCTCTAGGGATCATTGCAGGCTAAGGGTTGATACCCCTACCCTACCCTCCTTTAAAAACCTAGTTCGAGGTCGACGTAATATGGACTCACCACTACTTCTAGAGTGGTTAGTTACCAAAAGGGGGTGAGCCAGTATTTTCCACTTTCTGGTATGTTCTCTTTGTTTATGCATCCACACTATAAGGCTTTGATTTATTTATTCATACACATGCAATGTTTGGGATAACACCCTCGAGTCTTTGTGGTGGGTATTTGATTGCTTTGGTTGTACGTCGATGGCGTTTATGAAAACACCCTTGACTCATTGCTACCTTTATAATCATAAGGAAAATAGAGAGTTTAGTGGAAACTTATTTATTCTTTGATGGAATAACGTTGTACATCATGACATTGCATCATAGCTTTTGTTAGGTCTGATTTTATGATTGGCAACAATTTTGGTAAAAATATGTTTCATTTGGAAAAACATGTATCACAACCAGATATTGAGCAGGATGTCATGACATCTTGACCAGCTGTCATGACAAGTTCTGCTGTCATGTATTTGAGACAAATGCCGAACCATATGTCTTGACATCTTGGCCAAATGTACAACAAGTGCTGCTGTTAATTTCTTGACAAATTTAATTTGATTTTGTGATATTCTCTTGGATGTATCTCATTATTTTTATAGGTCAAGAAGATTTTGTTTGGAACAATTGATTTGATCTCCAACTGTACATTAAGTTTCTAAAATTGGATGTTGAGACAATTTAGGAAACTTGATATTTTTTCCATGAATCAAGGAGATTTTTTCTTCATAATTGGTGCAGAACTCAGCTTGTGGATCAACAAAAATTTGGGTAAAGATTTTGAAGCCCATGAACTACTAAGGAGTATATAAAGAGAAACCTAAACCTAATGCAATTTGGCTCTTACAATTTATAAAAAAAGGGAAGTTTAGGGTCTTAGGTTTGAGATTCGTTTTACTTTGTTTGATTTCGTATGTCACCCATGTATATTCTGATACATTGAGGTAGACTGATTGATCATTGTTACTTGCCAATCACTCATGAAATTTTAAGAAAATAGTAGATTGTGTGTCAAGTTATTGTTCTCGGTTAAAAGCTTTTAAACAAAACTGAGTATTGTAAATGGAAGTGTGTTCTTCTGTTTTTGTTATTGTCATTGAGGTGATTGTGGGAAGTGAAAATAAGATATCATATCTAAAAGGTTTATAGGTAGAAGTAGCTCAAGGTAGTGATTAGGAGATAAGTTGTAAACTAGGGTTATTTATCTTTGAACTAATACTATCATAGTAAATTTCCTTCCTGGCTTGGATGCCCCCAGAGTAGGTGATGATGCATTGAACTGGGTTAACAAGTGATTGTGATATTTATGTTCTACAATTTACTTTCTGCATAATTCATATCTTTTGTAAATTGTTGTATCAGGAACCTGATGTCTTAACATCTATCATGACATTCTGTTTTAATGTTGAGACATTTGTCTTAATATTTAA